AGGAGAGGAGAGGAGAGGAGAGGCAGAAAGGGGGTGGACCCCAAAGCCTGCTTCTCAAGGGTGTTTACTGAGCTGAGCCAAGAGGTGAGATAGGACAAAGCTGTCATCTGCTAGGGCAACCCGCTCAGGTCCCCTCTGTCTCTCTCTCAGAAGCTTTCTTTCCCCCAACAAATAAATATATTCTTCCCCCCCCCCTTTTTTTTTGGCAGAACCAGGGATTGAACTCAGGCCTTTGCGCTTGCCAGGGAAGCGCTTATTCCACTGAGCCATCTCCCTGGCCCCTATATTCTTCTCTTAACCTCAAAAACAAAACAAAACTATCATCCACGGGTGAGAGATAAGCCCAGTCACTCAGGTCATACTGATTCAGTGGGATCACATGGGGAAGCAGTCACGTAGCAGGTGCCCATGCAAGGCTCTCAGGGAGGGAACGGGGAGGAGGTTCTGGCCTCCTGGCTACGGTGACTGGAAGCCGGTGGGCGACTGGTCCTCTCCAAGGACCTCTGGTCCTCTCGGCCCAGCTGCCTTCTGGCCCCGCCCGCCCGCACGTGCCTGACTCGGCTGTCTGGGGCAGTATTCCAGTGCACTGAGCGACAGGCGGTCGCCTCAGATGGGCATCATCTCAGTGGCGTGCCCTCGTCTCCAATACTCATCATTCTGTGTGTTGGGTCTATTCAAAATCCTTACTGCTATTTTGAAATAAAACAACTGTTGTCAACCATAATGACCCTGTGGTGCCACATGACATTATAAGTTAGTTATTCCATTCAGTTACCTTCTTTTTATTTTTGGGCTTTTTATTTTTTTTTTAAGACGGGATCTCAGTATAGCTCAGAATGGCCTTCAGTGGTCTATGTAGGCGAGGTGGCTATGGACTAACAGTGAGTGATCCTCCTGCCTCAGCCTCCTCAGCACTAGGGTCACAGGGGTGCGCCACCATATCCAGCTCTTCCGTCTCTTACTGTTGGACATCTACTTCATGTCCATTTTTCTATTGGAAAAACACTGCTGAACACCTAGTTACAACAGTGCCCCTGAATTTGAGGGTAATTTTATTTATTTTTTTGGCAGAACCTGGGATTGAACTCAGGAAACTGCACTTGCCAGGCAGGTACTTATGCCACTGAGCTACATGCCTGGCCCCTTGAGGGTCATTCCATAAGGATGGGTCTCGTCAGTGTGGGCCAGAGGGACCCATGTGTTCTGATGTCCCTTTGTGTCCTCTGTGGGAACCAGGCCTCCCTCTCACAGCGCAGCTCCTGGGGCCCCATTGGCTGCTCCTGGTCCACACGCTAGGAAACACTGTCCTGCCCAACCTCTGGGGAGATGCTGCCTGTCAGCCAGCTTGAGGGGTCTGGTGGGGGGCAGGCCCTCTGCCATCTTCCGGGCAAGGACAGCTTCCATCTCTCAGGCATTTCCTGGCTTTGGTTTCTTCTCATTCTGCTCAGTTTACAGAACCAACCAGAGAAACCCAAATTCCAAGCATTGTGTCCTAAAAATGAACACTCCCGTCGCCATGGTGAAGGAGCTGACACGCCAGGGCTGGGGACAAAAAGAATCTGTTTTCCTGCAGAGCTCTGAGTGTCTGGGACCACAGGGCACCCTTTAGAGAAATCAATGCTTCGTGGGCTGTGGGCCACCCTGTGAGCATGGACGGGAGGCATGCTGACGCCTGCTGTGGAGGGTGACAGGGCCCCTGGTGGCTTTGAACAGGGACCAGGGGGCCCGAGGGAGGATGGCAGCGTGGCAGGAGCCTCAGGTCGGTGGGGGCAGGGCTGAGGGGCCGCCCCTCGCAGCCCCTGCGTCCTCACCTAGAAGGTACGAGTTGTGTATGGGCGGGGGCGGGGGGCGAGGGCAGAGGGGAGGCAAGGCGGCTAGCACAGCCCAGGGGCCGAGTGGGGCGCACGCACCCATCCGGCCTGCAGCTCGCTCCTGGGGTCTCTGTCCTCCATGAGCACCCGCCTCCACCTGCCCGACGGCAGACCTTCCCCCAGTCCTCTCTCAGCCTCAGTGTCCCCGCTGATGATCAGAGCCTGGCTTGATGATCCTTAAGGCTCTGCCAGCTGCAGCACCCTGCTGAGGACCCACCTGCAGTCTGCATCGCTGAACCGTTTTCCTTGCAAAGAGATATGGCTGTTGGCAAAATGCCGCGCGTGGCTGTCCCAGGATTCCCCCAAGGGCAGGAGTTGAGGGCTGCGGGTCACCCTGCCGTCCCAGTACCCAGCGGACCTCAGGGGTGTTTCTATGGTCCTGACCACCCCCACCGGGCATCCGGCTGAGGAAGCCCAAGGTGCCGCCTCTCCTCTCCTGGGCCAACCTGCCTCTCAATGCATGACATCGCGGGACGGGAGAGGCGCGCTAGGCGCTCCGAGGAGCCAGACACAGCCAAGCGAGGCCGAGCTTTTACCTTTCTCCATTCTCCGCTTGCTCGTTTAGTCCTCCTAGCCCAGGAGGTGGAGGCACTCGGCGCCGCGCAGAGCTGGAAGTGGCGGATGCCGCGGCCTGGCGCCGCGCGCCCTGGCGGTCCCCGCTGAGCGACGGCCTCGCGGCCGTCCCGAGGAGCCGCCGCGTGAGGCCGCCTGGGAAGGCGGGCCGGCCTGGGCGCAGCTGGCTCTGCGGCGGGAGCAGGTGGGTGCCGGGCTGGGCGCGACCCCCGCGCAGGCCGCTCAGCTGAGGCCTGCGCAGTTGTGTTTTTTTCCCGCAGTTTTTAATTTTGTCAGGTTCCCCTGGCGACGAGGCTTATTAGCTCGTCTGGGCGCTGCGGGCAGGAGGTAAGGCAGGCGTCGGAAGCCCAGCCAGGACAGAGGACGAGCGGCGCGGGACCGGATGCGGCGCCACGGCCGCCAGGGGGCGCCACACGCAAGGCTGTGGCCGCGCGCTTCCGGTCGGGCGCGCAGAAGTCGCCTCCGCTAAAATCCCGAGACTGAGAATTAGGAAGAGAGCGGCAGCGAACCCTCCGAAGCAGACCTAGGCCAGCTGCAGCGTGGTGGGCTGCAGCGAGTCCGCAGTGAGGAAGTCTCTGCTTCCCTGTTACTGCTTAAAACCAGGCGTGCGGGCAAGCAGAGGTTTGGTGGAGTCTTGGCATTGGTTTTCACTTGAAACCACCAGAAATGTATGAAGCAGAGTCACCTGTATTCTGTCAGGAGACTGTCTTTTATTTATTTATTTATTTATTTATTTATTTATTTATTTATTTATTTTGAGAGAGCATCTTGCCATGCAGTTCAGGAATTCACAGCGATCCTCCTGCTTCAGCCTCCCCAGTGGTGGGGTTACAGATGTGTGTGACCTCGCCTGGCGAAACTGCCTTCTAAAATGCACACCATAGGGCTGGGGAGATCTGCCTGGCAAGATCCCCTGTACTGCATGCGGGCCGCACCGCGCTGAGCCAGACACTGAAACCGGGCATGGTGGCACACGCTTGTAATCCCAGCGCTGGCGGGGCTGAGGCAGGTGGGTCACTGTGAGTCTGAGCTGTATAATGAGACCCTGTACCAAATAAATAAAAGATGAAAATTTAAAACAAGGGCCGGGGAGACGGCTCAGTGGAATAAGCGTTTCCCTGGCAAGCGCAAGGGCCTGAGTTCAATCCCCGGTTCTGGAAAAAAAAAAAAAAAATTAAAATCCTCACCAGGGGCCAAAGATATAGCTCAGTGGCACAGCGCTTGCCTGGCAAGCACAAGGTCCTGAGTTTGATTCCTATATTCCCTCAAAAGCACACCCTTTGCGTTGTAACAAACAGGTGCCGAGTTATAAGGCCTGTGAGCCAGGGAAAAGACTCAAGTTAGGGCCCACTCCTAAGAACCACTGCCCAGACAAGTGACCTTTCGGCTCCATGACTCCAGGTACTTCTCCTGAAGGCGATGCCGGACTTGCTGTCCCGAGCGCTGGTCTCTGACTCCCCTGGCTCAGCCACAGCCAGTCCTCCTGGGGTTTCCTCTCCGGTGATTCCCTGCCTCATAATCCTCTAGTGCTGGTGTAAGTCCTGGCCTCTGCCTCTGGCCCCTGAAGGGCTTCTCTTCTTTGATGCCCCTAGACCATAACAACAGTCTAACAAACGTTCAGGTGTCTCCTATTTGCCAGGCTCGGGGAAGATGGCAGTAAACCAACAGACAATCGAGCACATTCTATTTATTTAGGGAGGATCTACAGAGTGTCCAGGGTCTCACTACTAGATCGGACTCGTAGTGATCCTACTGTTTACAGCCTCCCAAGAGCTGGGATTACAGGCACGCACCACCACGCCGTCTCAATTGCCAGTCTCAGCGCGCCCCGGGGGTGGGGCTGGCACGGCAGGCCCGGGGATCGAACCCCTGGCCCCTGGGCCTGCTTGCATTGCGCACATCCTACAAGGGGGATGAAGAGCAATTAACCAGCTAAGAGAGACTCCTAGCGTGACCTCACTCGGGGGCTTGAATTTTCTCCGCGACCTGGACCCACCTGAGCTCCGGTTGACCTACACCAAGGCCTCGGGGAGATTTCCCAGTTTGAGTCCGCTTCCGGCTCTGCAAAATGGCTTTGATTAGTCTCTGGAGCCTTTGCAAAAGGTTGAAGCAAAATCCAATTCCTGTAAACACTAGGCCAGTGGTTCCCCAGCTCGTCTGCAAATGACTCAGCTTTCACAACACACTGAAGAACCCTGCAACTCACCTCCGCAGGTGCGGTTCAGTAGCCCTGCAGCTTTGGCATTTTAAAAGCCCTCCGGTGGTACTAAATTATAGACAAATTGCCAACTACAGAGCAAGACGCTGGGTAAAAGCGCAATGAGACAGCGATCAGAAAATCCCGTTTTACAAATTAAGAGGCTAAGGCCAGGCTGGTAGGACGCCAAAGCACACTTCCGGTGCCGTATGTCCTGGGCCTGAGCTCAGGTCCTCACACAGATGGGGCTTTGTTCGGTTGGGGGTACTGGCCAGGCCAGCCTGCCCGCACCTGACACCTGTTGGCCAGCGGTGCCCCATCGATGCGCTCTGCCGCTCGGCTCTTCACGCCTGGTGCCTACCCGTTCGCACCCCTTCCTCCGCCCAGCTGCTTCCCACTTCCAAGATGGCCGCGAGTGGAGCGGAACAGGTAAGGGCCCCCTGTGAGGCGTCCGCGGCGGCTCTGCAGGCACAAAGACACTCTCAGGGTTTCTCGTCGCGACAGCACATGTTCTGTGAGACAGCAGAGGGCCAGCCACGCACTCCAGAGGCCCAAACGGACGGTCGGGCGGACCAAAAGAAGGGCAGCCAAGCGAGCGTCGAGTTCCGAACTTCGCAGGACTGCGCCGGGGGCGACGGACCGGGCGGAAGAGCAGACGCTGGCGGCGGGGGCGGGACCAGGATGCGTGGGGGCGGGACTACTGGGCGGGGCTTGGAGCACGGGGCGGGGCTTGGCGCGCGCGGTGGCCGGCCGCGCGCACCTGTAGCCGACCTGCTGCCTGTCTCGCGGCGGCGTCCCCAGCCCCGCAAGTTGCGGGGTGGCGCGGCCCGGGCTGCAGGTCGGCGGTCCCGGGGATGGCGTCGGGGCCGCGCTGACTCCGGTACTGGGGCCGGGTGTGGGCAGGCCGCGGGAGAGGGGCGCCGGCGCTGCCACCTGCTGCAGCAGAGGCGGTGGAGGCCTGGGGCGCGCGGCCGCGGTGACCCGGGTCTGGGGGGCGCCCGCCTCCGCCCTCCGGCGGGAGCTGGGGGCGCTGGGCGGTGGGCACTGGTGGGGGTGGCGCTCTAAGCCTGTGGTGGGACCGGGTAGCGACGCACTCCTCTTCCGGAACTTGTGGAAAAGTTTTCCCCGACGAGGGGGGCTGCTGGTGTGCGGGCTCCGGGCTCAAAAGGAGTTGCTAGGTGCGCGGGACCCCTCCTCGGAGCTCCGGCCGCAGCCTGTGTCCTCCGACCTTCTCCCGCCCCCGAGGTCTGCGCCCGGGGGTGGGGCTCGGATCCCCGCACCCCTCGCCCTCACCTCGCTCCCATACCCCGTTCCTAGGGTGCCCTTTCTCCTCCCCCCAGCAGAGTCCCAGAAATTTGGGATTTCTGTCTTGGGTCCCTGTTGCTTAGCGTTCTGCGATCACTGTATACCCTTCCATTTCGGACTCCTCGTTCCGCAGCACCAACCCCCCCCCCCCCCCCCCCCCCCCCCCCCCCCGCGTCCAGGGCATACCTGAGGCTAAAAAGCTGCGTTGGGCCCCTCCCACCGCCCCAAGACTACTGTCCGGGCTGGAGGGCGTCCAGTCGGCCGAAAGGACCCATACCTCTGCCTGCTCTCCCCCGAGCAGTGTTTAGCCCTGTGGGTTGCGCTCACCGCGAGGGTGCTGGCTGGGGAGCTGGAAGGGTGGCCCTGCAACTCCAGTCCCAGTGGGGCGCTCGAGTGGGCTTTTGGGGGCCACAAGTGTGAAACTGTTACAGTGGCGTGGGGCACTTTTTCACCATGGGGGGATGGTGGAGCCTGGGGCTCCTGCGCGGAAGAGATCTCTGAGCTGCACACCCAGCCCAGAGCAGCGTGGCTTTTGAAGGAAATGCATTTTGCTTTTGCTGAAGGCTCCTGTGATTATTTCATGCACCTAGGGCAGGTGAGGAAGGAGCCCCAGCTCTGGGGGGACACTTCCTGTCACCAGGTTTATTGGGCCAAGACCAACCCAAGTGCCAAGTGAGGTGAGGGCTTGCCTTCCTCCTATCTCTTACTGATTTCTTAATTGTTCTGTTTGCACCAAGCTGGGCTTCACCACTGTTTGGGTGATTTTTATTTTGGGAGTTAGGTCTCAATATAGTCCATGCTGGCCTCAAACTCACTATGGAGTGCAGGGTGGCCCTGAATGAACTTCAGGGATCCTCCTGTCTGCCCTCAGGCTGCCTCCCCCCTTTGTCATCAGGCTCCCCTGTCCCTGGTGTCCCTTCAGCCCCTGCATTTTCTCAGGGTTAGGCTTCACTTCTGCTGCTGCCCAAGGGATGAATTCCGAACCTTCCTGTCCTCTGTGGAAGACTTCTCAGAGACACAACTGGCCAGCCCACAGTCTTAGAGCCTCTGACAACACTGGTGCTGGGCCTCCTTTCCTAGAGAGCTGTGGATGCTGCCTTGAGACTCGGAGGGGAGTGTCGATGATTTGGTTATAAATACACAGTGCGTAGGGTGGTGCACGCTGTCATCCCAGCACTCTGAACTCGGCGAGCCTGAGGCAGGAGGAGCACTGTGAGTTCAAGGCCAGCTAGGCTACATTGTGAGACCCTGTCTCAAAGATAAAATAAAGTTGAGAATGCATGGTGAGAGGAGTTGGAACTGTGTAGTATGTTCTATCTGACCCCATTTAGGATTCATTATCCTTGGCCTGTTGTTTAGAATTCTTGATGGTGGGGCTGGAAGGCCGCCAGGGGTCTGTGCCATGCTCCAGGTGTGAGGCGAGGCGTCAGTGACAGGAAGTTGCTGCCCCTGAAGCTGCAGTGCAGAGTGGCTGTTTCTTACCCTGCTTATGCAAATACGTTGCTAAAATAGTGGGGCTGAGTTGGCTGGGCCTGCCTGGTGCCCTGCGGAGAATAATACCAGCCTCCTGGAAGGCTTAGCTTGAGCTCCTGTGATACTGTGGGCTTCCTGTGGATTTCTGCCCCTAATTTTGTCACCTGCCAAGTGAGACTGGGTCTAGTATTGCCCCCACCTTCCTACACGGAAACTGAGCCACAGGGAAGCTAAGAAACAATCAAGGTTGGGGAGGAGCTGCTGTTTGAACCCAGGGAATCTACTGTGGAGCCTGTACTATTTTTCCTGTTTATTTCACTTTAAAAACGATTGAAGTCGAAGAGAAAAGCGTAAGAATTGCCCAGTGGTCAGTTTATTGGTGGTCACCAAGTTTAGGGCCTCTATTCTTAGAATTCCAGCAGCCCTCTGTGGGCTTCAGTGTTGGGTCTGGGCCGGTCCCGTTTCCCTTCCTGTGTGGCGTGGGTGAGTTCCTTAGCCTTTCCTATGGTTTCTTCCGTGTGTGATTAAAGTGTGCCATGGTGCGTGGGAGATGCCGGGTGGATGACTTACTTTATTGACGATCAAGAATTTTTTTTCCTTGGTTTTTGGAGACAGGGTCATGCTCTGCAGTCCAGGCTGGCCTTGAAGTCAGTGACCCTCCTGCCTCAGCCTCCCGAGTGTTGGGATCACAGGTGTGCACCATCATGCTAGCCTGGCTGAGAATTAAGATTCTAAATTGTCCTCCCATTCACTCTTCAGGTACTTAGGCAGGCGGCTGGATTTGGTAATTCACTAAGTGTAGCCAAGGCCTTTTGGAGAGAGTACTCCATATGTTCAGTATCCTTAATTTAAAGTGTCCCACTTACGCCTTACGCCTTTTCTTTTCTTTTTTGGTAGTGCTGGGGCCCGAACCCGTGGCCCTCTACGTCGGAGCTGCACGTGTTAGGTCGAGACTGGGCTGCAGGGCCAGTCTGAACTTGCCTCTCGGCCTTGGCCGCATGCCCAGGCCCCTTGTGCCTTTTAAACGCAGCTGCCCGTGGCTAGGGTGAGTGGAGTGGCTGTGCTCCGGGGCTGTGAGGGAGCCTTAGGAGACGCGCACCCCTGAACCCCAGCAGCCGCCTGGCGTGCAGGGGACTTGCGCGGGAAAGCCCGTGCAGCAGCGCCATGCCACGTTCTGTTGCCCTGCTCACCTTCCAGAGGAGTGTGTAAGCTGCTAGGAAAAGCTAGGACTATTTTTATTTTGAAGAACCATTCACTTGAACACACTACTATTGTGACTGGCCATCCCATTGTCCACAGCACAGACTCCTTAGGCAGCCCCAGCGCTGTCGCGCAGTGCCGTGGCACGGTGCTCCCAAGCTTGGGATGGGGGAAGCTGGCTGGGAGTGGGGCTGTAGACGTGGAGTGCTGGGTGATATGTCACCTGAGCCAGGAAGGCAGAGGTAGCAGCTCTGTTAATTGTTAATGCTGAGGCAGCCGAGCCATCTGCTTCTCTAGGATTTGTGGGGAAGAAAAGAGACAGTCCCCTGGGGCCAGGGAGCCCTCAGCAAAGCAAGCCCATGCTCAGGGTGCCCCACTGGCCCAGGTCCTTGTTGGTGTTAGGACTGCACTTCTGGGGCTCTTCTGGGCTGGCTGCGTCTCCCACGGGCCTGGGCCTGGCTGAGATGCGGGGTGGTGCAGCGGCTGCCCAGGAGGACACCGTCATCCCTGCTGTCCTCTCCCTCCCTGGAGGCCTTGTGGAGGTGGAGTGGGCGCTGAAGCCAGAAGACGCAGGTGGGCCCTGTCTGTGAGACTCACGCAGGCCCCTGCTTCTGGTTCATGCAGTGTATGGTGAGGACTAGAGGTGAGGCTTTCCTCAGCAGCCCTGGAGACACAGTCCTGGGGGGTCAGTGGAGACCCTGGGCTGGCTGTGTGTCTCCGGTTCCTCTGTGCTGTGGCTGAGGGGCTGTGCCCAGGGTGCCACATTCAGCTCAGAACCGTGGCTCAAACTCATGCCATTACAGTGCATGCTGCCTGTGGGTGCTGTGTGTTGGTGTGGCCAGGCCCGCCCTCTGGAGACTTGGGCTCCATGCCTTGTGTGCTGGGCTGACCCTGTGGTGCAGGGCTGGGCTGGGCAGAGTTGGGTGGAGGGGAAGTCTGGAAGCCAGGCGAGAGCCCTGCTCCCTGCAGGCCCTGCCCAAGTCACGGCCTCCCAGCTCTCCTCTCTGCAGCTTGGTGCTTCATCCCCAGGGGCTGTACTCCCCTCTGCTCCCTGTGGAGATGGTCGGGGCTGGCAATAGCCTCAGAGTGGCCTGCCCCCGGGAACAAATAGTCTCCCTTATCCACGCCCCGCCCTCTGTCTTGTCTGCTTTTCTCTTGCCAGGAGGTGATGACTAGGCAGCCTGAGGTGGGGGGAGGGGCAGTACCTGAGGCTGCGCAGGCCATGGTCACTGCTGGGGGAGCGGTTGTCCAGCAGGCGTGTGATGTGGAGTTGGAAAAGGCGTGTGGAGGGAGGACCCTTGCTTCCCGGGCTGTCCAGTGTGTGTGGTGTTTCTCGCAGGCAGCTCTGGCTCCTAACCAGGTGGCCACTGGGGGTTGCCAGCCTCTCCTGCCCATGTTTGTGGCCAGGAAGCCCGTGGTAAAGCTTTCTGTCTCATATTGTTGCCTGAGCTGTCACCTTGCTCTTGGGACATGACCCAGCAGATGTGCTCAGGTGGTACTGTCCCTGAAAACTTGCATGCTTCAGAATGTAGCTGTTAGTGACAGTCTGGTAACAGTGGATGCTCTGCTTTGGGCCAGGGTGGAAATCCAGGGGGGAGAATGGGGACAGGTGTAAAATCTGGTTTGTAAGACACCTAGGAGGAAGGGGCCCTCAGCTTCCTGGGAAAGTGGGGAGCATTCTGCTGGAAGCACTGAGGCACTGGCACCTACTTGCCTGCACGAGCCCTGGGTCCCCGAGGACTTGCGGGGAACCAAGGAGGCTGGCTGGACGTGGAGAAGCAGAGGCTAATGGCGTGGGTGTGAGGCTGTCTGAGCCAGTGGGGACCGAGCCAAGTGCCTGCTCAGCTGACGCTCAGGCTCGGCTGGGTTGGAAGCGTGTGACTTGGAGGCTGGCCACTTGCCTCTGGCCACCGTCCAGAGTCCACCCCTAGCCTGGTCTCAGGCACGTGCCTTGTTTGTGCAAGCTGCCCTAGTGGGCACCAGTGGAAGGGGTGGCCTGCAGTGCGGCTCCTGGTTTTACGGCACCCGTGGCACCAGGAGGAAGAGCTCAGGGCCAGGTGGCTGGGTCTGAGGAGTTTGGTCTGAGCGCGTGTTGCAGGGGAGCACTCTGGCTTTTATTTCCTTGAAGACTGACACCGTGTTCCTGAGGTTTAAGGGACTTAGGCCATAGTTGGGATCAGTGGAGGCCATGGAGGCCTCAGAGGTCGCCTGGGTCCTCCCCAGGAGAGGCCCTGGGTGTAGAGACCAGGACCCAGGCTTTGGGCTCTGAGCCCTGGCCTGCCTTTCTTCTTTCTTTTCAACTACACTCAGCCAGGGTGGGATCTCACTGTTGCCCTGAAGTGCTTTGCAGTTCCCTGGACATCAGTGGACACCTGTCTGCCCAGGTGCTGATCTTTCTAGGCAAGGCAGACTTGGTCTCTACTCCTGGATCAGAATTCTTTGTTGTGTTTTTGTTTTTTTGAGACAGTCTTCCTGTGTAGCACCAGCTGGCCTTGAACTCATAGCCATCCTCCTGGCTCATGGGCCAGGGAAATGGCTCGGTAGAATAAGCACTTCCCTGGCAAGTGCAAGCGCCTAAATTTAAAACTCCAGTTCCACCAAAACAAAAAAAGAGAGTAACCCTCCTGGCTCAGCCTCCCAAGTGCCTAGTGACTATTTCAGTTTCTTGTGGCAGATTCAGTCTTTCTGTGGCTGGAAATTACATCCCCTGGGCACCAGCTACATGCCAGGTGCCACGTTTGCTGGCCCTTTCACCATACCTTGTCGTTTCATCTTCAGACCTGCCGTAAGTAATATATGCTGCCCCATTGCTGCTGGCCTGCCCCTGGGAGCCTGCAGCTCCTGGCCCTTTAGTGACAGCACAGTGGCTCCTGAGCCAGGTGCCTGCTCGTGCTCTCCCGGGGCCTTGTTGTGCCAGGGCCTCGGGTGGGCGGCATTAGAACCCGGGGGTCTTGGGCCCAAACCAGTTCTTTGTGCAGTTATTCTGGGTAGGATAAATCTCAGTGTACCATCTGATTTTTTCAGTGGTGATGTTTTGTTTTATGTGTTTGGTACAGGTTCTCACTATGCAGCTCGGACTCGTAGTGATCCTCCTGTATTTAGCCTCCCTAGTGCTGGGATTATACGCAGGTACCACCATGCTCCAACTAGTGGCTGGCTCAGCGTGCCCAGGAGTGGGGTTGGTGTGGCACGTGGTGCCAGGGATTGAACCCTACTCCCTGTGCTTGCCTAAGCACGCACTTAGTCTGCTGAGCTATCTCACTGGCCCTAGTGTGATGTTTTAAAGGAAGGTGGAAGGTTGCCCATCACAGGCGGCTGCAGTCTGCCGGGGCGTGGGCAGGTCCCCTGGGTGTGGCCCTCAGTGTGTGGGGCCCTGCACTTTTGACTTTCCTTCTCAAGCCTGTGCTCTGTTGCTCCATCCCTGGTCGTTTCTCTTCCCAAGCCGCTGCCAGCCGTATTAGGCCTGGTTCAGCTCTGTGCTGGTGGCTGTGCCGCAACCTGGCCCGCCTCCCAGGGTTTCTTTTTCTTTTTTTTTTTTTTGGCGGAACAGGGGATTGAACTCAGGCCCTTGTGCTTACCAGGCAAGCACTTATTCTAGTGAGCCATCTCCCTGGCCGCAACCTCACAGGTTTCTGCTGTGTGCCTGAGGGTGACTGGCTCACAGAGAGGCACAGCCCCTCCCAGACGCCCTGACAACATCCCTGGTGGTGGCATGTGTAACTCATGGTGCTGTTTTTCTGTTCGGTGAAGCTCTCTGGAGTTCTGTGCTGTCTCAGAAAGAGCAGCTGCTGATTGCCTGTGGGTTACACATCCACATGCTTTAAGAGGTGTCCTGCTGCCATCCTCGCCTTGCGTGCATCAGCACTGTGTCACTGTGACAGGATGCCTGCAATAACTGAGAAAGAAGAGGTTCACGTGGGCAACCTGTTCCAAGGTTCCAGTCGTAGGACTGCAGTGGCAGGGTCATGGGGTGGTGCGCTCTGCAGAGGAGGCTGCCCACCCCAAGGCACCCGGGGAGCAGAGGCAGGAAGGGCACAGCGTTAGCATTTCTTCCTCCGGCTGAGGGTTGATTCTTTGTCCTGTGGTCTTTAGGGGGCATCTCCAGTCAGACTGGAGTTTCTTCTCCCTCCAAAAAGGGAAGGTCAGGGCTGGCAAGATAGCTCAGTGGACTAAGCACCTGCTTAGGCAAGCGCAGGGACCAGGGTTCGATTCCCCCTGCTCTGCTGGCCCTGCCCCCTGGGCACACTGAGCGGGCTACTGAGACTGGGCATGGTGGTGCACACCTGCAATCCCAGTGCTGGGGAGGCTGAAACAGGAGGATCACTATGAGTCCAAGCTGTGTAGTGAGACCCTGTACCAAATACATACAAATAAATAAAACAGAAAGGAAAAGTCCTCTAGAAAACTGCTCCTCTGTCCAGCACTGCCCTTGTGGGCTGTGCCAGGGATCCGCGCTGTGACTGGCAGGGTGACAGAGGCGTGGTGAGGATGACCACTTGCCCTGGGTGGACCTTTTGTTTGGTTCTCTCCCTGCTGATTCCCTTCATGGCAGCGTCTGTGAACCCTTGCTCTGGTCCTCAGTCGTGTGTGGGTATGGAGGACTTTTCAAGGCATTTTCCCCAGAAACCTGTCAGAGCTGTGTCAGGTGGTGGCATCTTGGGCTTGCTTGCTTGTAAGCAAGCAAGCAAGGATTTTTTTCCTGGAATCGAACTCAGGAACTCATGCTTGCCAGGCAGGCTCTGCCCCTGAGCTACATCCCTGGCCCCTTGGGCTTTTCTGTCCACCCTCTTTAACTTCTGTCTGTGTCTCTCTAGTTTCCCCTGGGACCAAGATGACTGATGGAAACCTTTCTTCCTCAACAAATGGCATAGCCTTGCTGGGCATTCTGGACAACCGACCGGGAAACTCCCTTCAGAACCTGCACCACGAGAGCGGCAGAGCGCCCAGATCCCTCTTGGTGCCTGAGTACGGGCCCAGGTTGAAACTCGGTGCTGTGGAAGACCGGGACAGCCTTCAGTCGGTGGACTCAGGCATCCCGACCCTGGAGATCAGCAACCCTGAGCCTGTGCCCTGCAGCGTGGTGCATGTGAAGAGGAAGCCGTCGGAGCCCGAGATTGTCCCGGAGCGGGCCTTCCAGAGCGCGTGCCCGCTGCCGTCCTGTGCACCCCCAGCGGCCACCGGAGCGGAGCGGGAGCAGGCCGTGCGGAAGTCCTCCACCTTCCCCCGCACGGGCTACGACTCAGTCAAGCTCTACAGCCCTACCTCCAAGGCCCTGAGCCGCAGCGATGATGTCTCAGTCTGCAGTGTCTCCAGTCTCGGCACGGAGCTGTCCACCACGCTGTCTGTCAGCAATGAGGACATCTTGGACCTCATGGTCACTAGCAGTTCCAGTGCCATCGTGACCCTGGAGAATGATGATGACCCACAGTTTACTGATGTCACACTGAGCTCCATCAAGGAAACCAGTGACTCGCACCAGCCGAGCTGTGCCGATGACCCTGAGGCGGGGAGGAGCCCGAGGCGCCTGGGACCTCTACGTAACTTCTTCTCGAGGTAAAGCCTTCTCTGTCCCCTGGCAGCACCCTGGTGTTCCCTGCTGTCCAAGTCTGGACCTTGTTGGGGTCAGGTTGTGTCATGCAACACTGTTGCGTCCCTGTTGCGCACCCCTCTAGCCCTGAGTCCTTCCCATGCCATGTCCTGGGCTCCTTCGCAAGTCCTTGTCACCTCCCCACCTCCTGCCTGTTGTTGCTGGGGACCTGCATGCCTTGTGCTGTCGCTTGGCCCTGAAAGGAGGGCTATTATACCGGTGACTTAAGAGTTTGTGGCCAACCAGAGGGTGCTTATAGGGGTGGTGTCAGCAGCAGCCACCTGTCCCCAGAGGGGACCTTTCTGTCACTATTCCCAGTAGGGCACAGGGCTGGAGCATCCAGTACCCCAGTTGCACCCCCTGTGCTGTTAAGTGTGAGCTGTTCCTGCTTGCCAGCCCCACATCCCTGCCCTTCGCGGTGCCCTGTTGCCTGCCAGCTCCCATGTGTCCCCTAAGGCCCTGTAGAGACAGTTGCTTGGGCTTCTGCTTACCCGTGCTGTCACGCTTTTGTCCAGTGAGTGTCTGTCTGAGTCCCTGCTCTAGACGGGTCACGTGGGGCTTATGTGAGGACAGAATGTTGTCTGCTGATGCTGGGGCCCAACTTTCTGTCTGGGGTCACACAGGGAGACTCGGCCACCTGTGTGGCGCGTGTAGGACATGGGCCTGGGAGCTTAGCATGTGCAGAGTGGGGCTCCAGCCTGCGGCCCCCTGTCGCCCCTGGGCCCTGGGCTGGGTGGAGGGTGGCATTTCTGCCACTGTCCCTGATGCCTCGTGTGTACCCTTGCAAAGCCCATGCTGAACTCATGTAGGACGTGGCGTGAAGTCCTGGCTGGGTCACTGAGAGGTCCTCTTGCCTGCGCCCAGGACCGGGGGCAGTGTTCAGTGCTGTTCTGTGGTTTGGGCACCTTTGTTTCTGAGGTGCTGATTGTGGAACCCCAGTCTTGGAACTCAGTAGCTCAGATTGGCATCTGCTAGGAAGAGCTTGGTCCCTGGGGTCACTGCTGCTGTCTAGTATCTTGCTGGGCTCGGACAGTGGCAGCTCAACTCCCCCGTGTACTTGACTGAGTTTTCTCAGCTCTCCTTCGACTTGCTTATGTATTTATCGTGTGTGTGTGTGTGTGTGTGTGTGTGCGCGTGTGTGTGTGTGTGTGTAAGACCGGCCCAGCTCACCCTAGGGGTGGGACTGGCGCTTTGAACTGCTTCAGTCCCTGCATTTGCCTAAGCAGGACTTTAGTCTGCTGAGCTGTCTCACTGGCCCTATTGCTTGCTTGCTTGCTTTTTGTATTTAGAACAGGGTCTACAGGGTCTCATCACTATGTAGATTGGACTCATAGTGATTCTCCTGTTTCAGCCTCCCAGGTGCTGGGATAACAGCCATGGGCCACCAGGCCCAGTTTCAGTCTCCCCACGGTTGGGGCCGCACGGCAAGCCAGGGATAGAACCCAGGCCACTGCGCTGCCTAAGCAGGCACTTTAGTCTGCTGACCTCTCAGGCTGGTCCCCTATTTATCTTTGTATTTGTTTTTGCATTTCAGGGGGTTAAACATCCCCCACCCTGTTTTCTTTTTTTGAAGTAGGGTCCTACTACATTGCTGTGTTGCCCAGGCTGGACTCATACTTGTGATGCTCCTGCCTCAGCCTCTCTGACAGGGGTGGGGAGTAGAAGCGTGGGCCTGTTTGGGAGCAGCACTGGAGCCTGTGTGGGTCCTCAGCTCTTCCTGAACGTCCAGATCTCGGGGGAGACAGATTTTCACGGCACCTGGGATTCTTAGCACCTCCCACCTGGTAGGAGCTGCGGTGGCTGGGAGTTCAGCACACCTGCGCCCACACTCTAGCCGCGTGACCTTTGGCCAGCACAGCGCCGTGGTGTCATTGTTGGTGCTCCCCACACCACCCCCTCCACAGCTTGCTGCCCACCTCAGTGCCTCCACCTGGGGAGCGGGGCAGGCTCTGCCTTTCTTCCCCTGGGATGAAGCGGTTCACAGGCTGATGGGGGGCAGTGGGGGACCCACACTCAGTAGTATAGGGCGACCCTGGCTGTGCCTTGCCCTTTATCTCTGGTGAGCAGGCTCAGAGGGAACCCCTTAAGGCAGTTTCTTAAGCCTTTTGACAGCTGCAGTTTCTCAGAATTCTGCCCCTCATCTCTTCTGCTTTATGCCTCCTGTCTTCCTGACCTTGTTCTGATGGCTGTGACATTGTTATTGAGAACCACACCTGTGGCCCTCTGGGGACAGGTGGAACATGATAAGACATGTTCACCACGGGTGACGTGGCGTGCTGAGCTGGTGGGCTTGGAAAGGGTGTTGGGACGCAAGGGAGGATGCGGCCGAGATGTGACGAGCAGTGATGTCTGCCCGTGTCCTCAGGTCACCTGGCTCTCCTTTTCTGGTGGTGTGGCTACTCAGCACCTGTGAAGTGGCCCTCGTGCCCCGGACCCCGATTTAGGGCCGAATAGAAGAGTCCCGCTGCGTGCCTGAGCTGCCCTGGTGTCAGGCCTGTGCGTTGTGGGAGGACTGCTGGGTGATGTTTTTCTCCTTGCTGGGTACTGCCTGTGGTCCTAGGCCAGGCAGGGGCTCACTGGTATTAGGGCTTAGTGGCCTGGTCTGCAGAAGGAGCCCCGGTACCCAGCCAAGAGGCCCCATAAGGGCAGCCCTGGGCTGCTGTCTGTCCCTGTGTCGCGCGCAGGATGAGGAGAATGGAGATGTGAGCCTAGCAGCAAGGCCAGCTCACACTCTGAGAAGGGACCAAACAGCGTGAGTTACAGGGCGGGAAAAAATCTGGAGAGTGCCCACAGGGCAGGAGGGAGGTTGGCACAGTCAGCAGGTGCCTCCTAGCTGGACCTGGGGAGGGGATATCGGGGCTCTGACGAGAGCTGTCACTCAGAGGAGGTCAGTGTCAGCTGTCTCCCCTGCACTTACCCTGCGGCCTCTGGTTGCTGTTGCCGTTCCCAGCCGAAGGATTTAGGTTCTTCTGCTGTGACTCTTACTCCATCAGGCCTCGGGACTAGCGTTCCCAGCCACCGGCTTCTGAGCCTGGGCTCTGTCCAGGTTGGTTGTTGTGTTGGGAGAGGATAACCGAAGGGGCCAGGGGAGGCTGACTGCCTGGGGAGGTCAGGGACGCACAGAGGCTTCCTGAGGGCTCTGCGGGGCCCAGAGGGGTTCAGGAGCGGCTGGCTTGCCAAGGGCCTGCTGCCTCCCGAGCAGTGCAGCTGGTCTTTGTTTTCTTCTGGTTGTAAGTTGTAGTCATAATAATTCGTGTCCTGAGTGCCTGGGGGGTACCAAGCATTATGCAAGGTTCATAAATATTGTACTCAGGTACAGCAATTAACCACTGAGAAGAATGTATGCAGTGTATTATTTGTTGAAACTGTACTTTTGATTTGATTTGAAACTGTCTCATTGCTATATGTTTATCAATAAAACTTTGAAAAGAAAAAAAAATAAAAAAATAAAAAAAAAATATTGTACTCAGCATAGTTAAACAATGCCCTGAGCGTTTGCTGTAGCCGAGGTGTGAGACTAGTTGGGCTGGGGAACCTTCAGAGGCAGGGCCATACAGCACTCAGATGCTCATCCCCGGCCAGGTGCTTGGGCTTCATTTTTTTTTTTTTTTTTTGGTGGAACCAGGGATTGAACTCAGACGTTTTCGCCTGCTAGGCAAGCACTTATTCAACTGAGCCATCTCCCCGGCCCCTTGGGCTTCATTTGGGAGGGAAACAAAGACCCCTGTCTTTGAAGAGCTCATGTTTTGGTGGTGGAGGCAGATGGTAAACGTACTTAGTAGATAATGTGCGTGTGTTGGTACTAACGCAGGTGATGGAGCACACAAAGCAGAAGTGGCAGGAGGTACTGTGGGGACTGGGGAGGTGGGGACAGAGGCCCAGTGGGGGCAGGGCCCGGGCAGGCGAGGGCGTGCACGCGGAAGCCCTGTGGGTAGCTGGGAAGAAGGCAGAGAGGCTGAGGCACAGCTCCCATGCAGGCACCCTGCCTCCAGGGGCCGGCTTGGGGCGCGCTGGTGGGGAGCCACTGCAGTCTTGAATGGGGCTTATTCTAGATTCCTGCTGCTTCATGTCCATGTACCGCAAGGACAATGGCTGTGACCAGCGTGGCTGGCCTGCTTCAGCCTGGCTGGGTATCAGCGACGTGAAACACACGCGTTGGTGGTTGCCACCCTCTCCAAGGTCGACTGGGGCCTGCGCGGTTCTGGGCCTGCAGGTGTTGGCAGGGCAGAGCTGCCTGTGCTCTGGGGGCTGCGCGCCTCTTGCCTTGCTGGTTGTGCGCCGGGACCACCCTCAGCTCCAGGGCTGCCTGGTCTTGCTGTGTGGCCCCTCCACCCTTTGAGCCACAGCAGAGGCTCTCTTGTGAGTCTGTCACCAGGAAGAGCCCTGGGCTTTTCCTTGGGGCGTACCTGGCTACTCTTTTTTGTTTCAGTTTTGGTACTGGGAATTGAATTCAGGACCTTGTACTTGCCAGGCGGGCACTGTGCCACTAAGCTATATCCCGGGTCCCTTGGGGCATAAGCCTGAGGTCCAGTGGCTCCATCCCTTACTTTTGTACGGAGGATTTGTGCTTTAGGGTAATAAAAGCTGGCTGTGCAACTCAGTACTTTTCCTCCAGCCACGCAGGGCCAGGAGTGTGCATGTGTGCAAAAGTGTCAAAATGGGATTTGGACCCACCCTTGTGTTCTGGCTGGCTGGTTTTGTGCTTGTTTACCGAGTATCACAGTGTCCAGTAGACCCACACCACTCCAGGGTTTTTTATTTTGTTTAGTGTTTTACTGTTATGAGACAAGGTCTTGCTGTGCAGTTCAGGCTGGCCTTGAGCTCACTTTGTAAACCAGGCTAGTCTCAAACTTGCAACGATCCTCCTGCTGCAGGCTCCCGGGTGCTACAGGACTTGTTAAAAAAAAAGTTTTCTTCTGATTTTTCGGGTGGAAGTAGCCCAGTTCAGTACAATGGTGGCTGAAAA